TGAGAAAAAGAACCCACCCAAAAGGGGGGAAAATCTACATATATAATTGCTGAACACTGGGATGTATGGGATGAGAGGAGGGGAAGAAAGAGCACAGGGTAGGGAATAGACATAGGAGAGCCTGGGTGCTGGAGGGGGGAGGGGGTGGCAATACACAAGAAGGGAGAGGGAAAAGGAACAAGGTGGATGGGAGAATGGTTGGGCAGATTTGCATGAGCTAGATGGGACAGAAGTAAATGACAATGTATGCACAACCTTGGAATAACAGGGATTCAGGATGCAGGGACAGAGGCATGGCCTGAAAGGGGATAAAACGTGAATAATGTTAGGATGCTCGGCTGTCTTTTGAATCTTGATTTCCCTTGCCTACCATTGTGAAATAAATGCTTGAGGGGCACGGGGGGTGGGCGGGCAGAGAAGCCAGAAATATCACAACAGAGAACATGTAAGCCTGTCTTCAGCCTCTAACTGACTGGAATAACTTGAGGGAAACTGGAAATTGCCCAGACCAAAGTGGGGGGTGGCCTATAAAGGCAAGAAGTGACTGGCTTACAGGCTTTCAAGGGAGAGCCTAGTTCCAGAGCCTAGTTCCAGACGGGGCAGGGGTAGGCAGAACCTCCACTGAATGATTTCCAATCTGTTGGGATGGGGCTAACAAAAGGAAATGGGATAAGACCCTTGTGGTACAACAGTGAATACCTGCCAGCAGGACTGACTGTGAGGGTCAGAAATGTGGAGGCAGATTTTTTTTTTTTGGCGAAAGGAGAAGATTGATTGATTTTGCAGCCCAGGAGTGAAGGTCCCTGGAACCATCAAGTGAGAAGAGCAGAAAGTGTGACCTTACTAAGAGAGGCAGTGAAACCAGGAATGGAGACAGAGATGTTGACATGGACAGATGGAGTGGCCAGGGACACAGGACTCAGGGAGGGTGAGGAGCTGTTTGCTGACAGCCCGGGGAGGCGGGCCTGTGGGGTATATCCTTTGGTTATTTGATGATGCATGGAGGGGATTGTAATCATTGTAATAAAATGTAATCATTGCAATAAAATAAAACGATAGGATGAATGTGAATCTGAAGTGGGACAGATGCAAATAATAATATATGCACAACCTTGGAACAACCGGGCTATGGGATACAGAGATTGAGACATTGTTGGAATGGGGGAAACAATCTTAAGATACTTGGCTGTCTTTTGAATCTTGGTTTCCCTGGCATACCGCTATAAAATAGACACTGGAGGGAAAGAGAAAGGAATAGCCAGAAATATCACCATAGAAAGCTTGTAAGTCCGTCTTCTGCCTATAACTGATTATAATATAATGGGGTTACAACATGCCCAGTGAAGGAGGCTTCCTGCAGAGTCTCTGTATTACACAAGACCATAGGTGGATTCCTGAACAGCATCCAGAATCTTCTGAGGGGAAATTTCCACTTGAAAGGACAAGCAGACCAGCCTGGAGTGGCCAAAAGAACAGAAGATACTTCCTGAAAGAAAGACCGACAGGAAAAATACAAAACAATAATGGCAGTCCGACTGATTACTACAAGAACAAGCAAGTTGCTCTCCCAGGGCAAACCCCTTTCCAAGACTAAGACTCAATGGGAATACACGCTCTGATTGGTGATCACATTCATCATCGCTAAGGGGAACTGAGGGAAAAACAGCAATGAAACTGCGAGCTAAGCCCTACAACATTCAATAGACTCCTGTGAACCCAGCTGGAGACCTGACTGGCCAGCCGTGTGGCAAGATCTGGGGATTCTTGGGCCCAGAGTCAGTGACAATGCCACAGAGGACTGGAGTGGAGAGTAAAGCATCCAGTGATAAGAAGAGAGGGCATATGCACAAGAACACCCACACTTACAGATAATACCCACTTGACCTGGCTTCAATGACTGGATGATCAGAGCTCAACTAGAAGAAGAAAGAAGAGGAAAAAAAGAGTAATCTAATACAATTTGATGAACTTGACCTACACCTATGGAAGCAGTAGCTCAAAAGAGGGAACAAATCTTCACAGCAAGGATCACTCCCACCCCCTCCACACAAGGAGAGAACAGGGATGGGCAAACTTGGACATTGACTACCCAGAATGGGGGGTTACAGAGGCAAGAAGTGACTGGCTTACAAGCTTTCAAGAGGGAACCTAGATCTAGAGGGTGTGGAGCAAGGTAGAATCTCCACTGATTAGTATCCGATCTGTCTAGGTGGGGCGAGGAAAGGAGATGCAGATAGGTCTCTTGCGATACAGTGGTGAATAATTGTTATCAGGACTGATTGTGAGGGCTGGAAATGTAAAGGTAGACATTTTGTAGCAAAGGAAGGGAGGGATAACTTTGCAGTCTAGGGATGGAGGTCTCTGGAACCATCAAGGGAGAAGAGCCGAGAACGGAACCCTACCCAGTGAAGCAGTGATGCCAGAGATGGAGGTAGAGAAGAAGACACAGAGATGGAGCGGCTGGGGACTTTGGACCCAGAGAGGGAGAGGGCCTGTGTGCTGATGGGGTGCACCCTGTGATTGGTGGATGATGCATGGAGGGGATTGTAACCATGGCAAGGAAATGATATACAATGGGATCAATGTGAAGCTAATGTTCTCCCATGTAAACTATCACATAACTCAAAATAAAGCAACTTGTATGCTTAAAAAAGAAAGAAAAAAATAAGTTAGAGTCTTTTTCTTGTTCTGTTGACATGGTGTATTGCATTGACTGATTTTTAATGCTCCACCATCTCTGCTTTCCTGGAATAAATCCTATTTGGTTATGATGAATGACTCTTTTAATATGCCATTGGATTCTGTTTGGTAGTATTTTGGTGAAGCATTTGGTATCTATACTCATTAGCGATATTGATTGGCCTGTCGTTTTCTTTTCTTATGGTGTCTTTGTCTGGTTTGGGTATCAGAGTTATGTTTGCTTCATAAAAGAACTGGTGGTGATGGTTATGTGCCATGGAGTCAGTTCTGACTCATAGCAGCCCTGTATAGGGTTTCCGAGGCTATAAATCTTTACCAGAGCAGAAAGATTCATTTTTCTTCTGTGGAACCACTGGTAGTTTCGAACTGCTGACCTTGAGGTTAGCAGCCTGACTCATAACCACTACACTGCAGTATTTTTTTCCTTCCCTATCCATAGTGCTTACGAATTGGGCTGCAAACCTTAAGGTCAGCAGTTTGAAACTACCAGCTGTTCCACAGGTGAAGGATGAGGCGTTCTGCTCCCGTAAAGATTTACAGCCTCAGAAACCCTGTACAGGGTCACTATGAGTCAGAACCGACTCCACACACATAACAACAACAACAATCTGCTGAAAAAGTATAAACACTACTGGCATCAATTCTACTCTGTTTCCTAGAATTCTCCAGTGAAGCCATCTGGTCCAGGACTTTATTGGGGAGGTGGGGGTTGAGGGTGGGGGAGAACAACACATGGCCAGAGATGCAATAGATGGTCCCAGATAGAATGGGCAAAATGTAAAACAAAATTCAAAAATTTAAAAAGGGATCAGACTGGCTGCTAGCTTTGTTTTCTCCTTCCAGACCCAAGGCCTCCTCCACAAACATGCTTTGCCAGATACTCAGTCAGGCCAAGAAACACCAGAGCTTGCTCCCTCTCTTTGTATTTATTGGAGCTGGAGGTACGGGAGCAGCACTGTATGTCATGCATCTGGCATTGTTTAATACAGATGTTAGTTGGGACAGAAAGAATAACTCAGAGCCATGGAACAAACTGGGCCCCAATGAGCAATACAAATTCTACTCAGTGAATGTGGATTATAGCAAATTGAAGAAAGAAGGCCCTGACTTCTAAATGAAATGTCTTCTTTTTTAAGCTGCTTAGAATGAAGGTTTTCCAGAAGCCATCTGCACAATTTCCCACTTAACCAGGATATCTTTCTTGCCTAAATGCATGGAATCATGTTGATGTATCATGTTGGGATTTATACTGAATAATAAATAATAAATATCTGAATTTTGAAAAAAAAAAAAAGGGGGGGGGGGGGGGGGGGGGATCAGACTGGACCAATAGAGGCTAAAGGAACTCCCAAGACTATTACCCTGTCATACTCTGTAAACTGGGAACTGAGGCTACTCCTAGAGTTCACCTTTCAGCCAAATAACAAATTTGCACACAAAATAAACAATGTCACCTGTGGACAAAACAAAATGAAGAAGCACATTAGGCATTGAAAAGTTAACAGAATTGGGGGAGATAGATACCGTGCAGCATGAAGATCACCAAGAAACAGACATGAAAGAGAAAGGATCTTCCCTCAGAGACGAGAGAGAGAGAGAGAGAGAGAGAGAGAGAGAAGCCTCCCTGAGAGCCAGCATGCTCATTTGGGACTTCTAGCCTCTTAACTGTGAGAAAAAAATATATTTTTTTGTTTGTTAAAGAAAAACTGAATGCCCTGAGATTCATGTGGTTAATAATAGAATACCAAGCCGGTTGCCATCATGTCAGTTCCAACTCACAGCAACTCCATGTGTTGCAAAGTAGAACTGCTCCTTTAGGGTTTTTCTGGCTTAATCTTTACAGACACAGATTACCAGGTCTTTCTTCCATTGCACTGCTGAGTGGATTTGAACCAACAACCTGTAGGTTAATAGTTGAATGTTAGCTGTATGCACCACCCAGGGACCTTTCATAGTACTATCACAGACCAAAAATAAAACACAAATGCTATTTAAATAAACTAGTCTAACCATTGGAGCCCAGTAGTGCTTCAGGATAATCACTGGACTGCTAACCACAAGATCAGCAGTTCAAACTTACCAGCCTCTCCTCAGGAGAAAGATGAAGCTTTCTGCTCCCATAAAGATTGACAGCCTTGGAAACCCTATACGGGTCACTGGGAATCAGAACCAATTTGACAGCACCTAACAATAACAACAAGAAGACTGACTCTTTGCAGTATAGCAATTTGCTCACCACTGTTTTGTTAAATAAGTGAAATAAATAAAGATTTATTTTTGCTCTCCTCTGCCAAAACTAGGATTATTGGTTATCTCTTCTGTTCAAGAAACTGGTGGGCACCAATGTGTTAATGGCAAATGTGAAAGGTCCAAACAGAAACAAACTTCGAGTGTACCTTCATTGCACAAACATCAATCAGTAAGTATTGATTTTTACCAGTCAATTTACCTGTTATGTGTTGAATTGGTAACAGATAACCTCCTCCTCTTATAGCCAATTGTCATATAGCTATAGTGTAGGCCTAAGATGTGTTAATGGTTTATACTCTGGCTCTGTATCATTCAGAATATATATATATATATATATATATGTTAGACTCAGCTCAAGAGTCTAACTAAAAAGAACATAGCTGAAATATAGGCAGTTACATTCCTGTGAAGATTTGTACAATAGTATTAATTATCATGATATACTATGGATATAATTACCATCATCTATAATTGAGTCCTGGTGTGGCAGAGTAGGATAAGCATTGGACTGCAAACCCACCAGCCACTCACCAGAAACCCTATACTGTGTTTCCATGAGTCAGAACTGACTCAATAGCACTTAACAACAACAACAGCATAATGGCTGTATACAAGGGAGCTTCCAAAACTTAGGAAAAATGGAAAGAAAATGGAAAATATTTCCGCAAACTTTTTAAAGTCTCCTCATACGATGAATTCAAATAAAGAATAGTACTAAGGTAAGAAAATATAACTCTGTGTCTTTTTACATGAGTCTACAAAGATTGTTCTTTCACCATACTTGTTTAATTTGTATGCTGAGCAAATAATACGAGAAGCTGGGTTCTATGAAGAAAAATGTGGCGTCAGGATTGGTGGAAGACTCATTAACAACCTGCGATATGCTGATGATACAACCTTGCTTGCTGAAAGTGAAGAGGACTTGAAACATGTACTTATGAAGATCACAGAGCACAGCCTTCGATATGGATTACATTTCAATGTTAAGCAAACAAAAATCCTCACCACTGGACCAATAAACAGCATTCTTATCAATGGAGAAGAGATTGAAGTTGTCAAGGACTTCATTCTTCTTGGATCAATTTTCAACACTCGCAGAAGCAGCAGTCAAGAGATCAGAGGACGTATTGCATTGGGCAAATCTGCTGCACAGGAACTTTTTAAAGTACTGAAGAGCAGAGATGTCAGCTTGAGGACTAAGGTGCGCCTGACCCAAGCCATGGTATTTTCAGTAACCTCATATGGATACAAAAGCTGGACAGTGAATAAGGAAGATCGTGGAAGAATTGTTGCCTTTGAGTTGTGGTGTTGGAGGAGAATACTAAAGTGCCGTGGACTGCCAAAAGAACCAATAGATCTGTTTTGGAAGAAGTACAACCATAGTGCTCCTTGGAGGCCAAGATGGCTAAGCTTCGTCTCTCCTACTTTGGACACAGTGTCTGGAGAGAACAGTCCCTGGAGAAGAATATCATGCTGGGTAAGATGGAGGGTCAGAGAAAAAGAGGAAGATCCCCAACGAGATGGATCAGCCAGGTGGCATCATTGATGGCGTCAAGTGTGGCAGCGGTAGTGAGGTTGGCCCAGGATCGGACATTGTTTCATTCTGCTGTGCATGGGGTCGCTATGAGTCGATTCCGACTCGATGGCACCTGACAACAACAACAACAAAGATTATCATTCATTGCCATAGAATGACTATGAATATAAATATGAATCCATATGAATGTACAATTATATTAGTTATAATTATACTTAGCCCTTTGTATCATACTTGAAAACTTGAATTTATTAAAAAAGACAAACAACAACAGCCTTATTTTCAAAAGATTCAACCACAGTTTCTACGGTTGAGAGACCATAGAGATTTTTGTGAGCTAGTGCTCTGGCTTCGGGTAGCAAAAAGTTTTACTAAATCTCAGAAGTTTTCTTCCTCTTCAAGGTTTAAATCTATCCTTACTGATAGGATGATACTGAAATACTCACTGTAGCCCATTTCTGGTGGGTGGAAGTTTTGTGGGTAGTAAGGGTCCCACTATGGAGTAATGGGAGAATTGTTTGGATGGATACACTCTACAAAGCATTATAGATTTCATTTTGTTGTTGTTGTTGTTGTTTCAAGTATTTTTATAAGACTAGGAAAAGTGTCTGTTCATATAGTTTTTCATTTGGATTCACAGGAACCCACAAGATAAACTTTTCATTTTTTAGTGTAGCACTGGACTGCAAGATTAGTTTGAATTACAGGATCAATGGTTCAACCTCATCATCTCCTCCTCGGAAACCCTATGAGTCAGCGCTAACTCGACGCCACTTAACAACAACCAAAACAAATATATGAAAACCCAATGGCTAATTGATTTACTAGCAACTCAGCCTGGCAAAGCAGAAAAGATCTCGAGTGCACTCGCCTTGAAATAGGAGTTTGAAGAGCAATATATTTTTTACTATGTTTTCTAAATAAGACCATACTAGCAGTTTACTAGTATCATAAAAGGGTAGAAGCTAAAAGGACTTATCATTTTTATGGAAATCATTATCCATGATCATATTTGTAACTGAGTTTTTAATTGCTTAAATTAGATCAATATTTTTAACAAGCTAATCTATTTTCTTTTAGCCCCAGGTATAAAGTAGGAGATTTAACTCTGTATGCCTTAAACCTACATAATGTCACCATGCGCTTACAGTTGCCCTATCATTTATTTAACAAACAAGTGGATAAATACCTTGTAAAACCTTCAGGACCTGATGGATTACTTTCTAAGTGAGTACTTTCTTTGTTCACGTCTAAGTTTCCCCAAATTGGTTGGCATTTGCTGTATTGATAGATAGACTGTATTGATAGTTCTAACTATTCTTAATATTCAAAAGTTTACAAATGATTGCTTATTAATGCAGATATAACTCATTTTAAGAGCCCAAAGCTGATATGAACACAAACTAGTAGTTACCTGGGAATTTGCATTTCAAATCAATGGTTATATTAAGATCTGCTCAATACATTAAGATTAATTGCTCTGATAAGACTTAAAATTCTTGGTAACACAATCACTAAAGTAAAGCATGTTGTTGTTTTTGTTAAGTGCTGTCAAGTAGGTCCCAACTCATAGAGACCCAGTATAGGGTTTCCGAGGAGCATCTGGTGGTCTTGAACCACTGAACCATGGAACCTGTGATTCACAGTCCAGTGCTTATCCTACAGTGCCACACCAGTAGTCCAAGTAAAGCATACTTACATATGCTTTGAAGAGTGTGTGGGTTGGTATAAAATATCAATGCATGTACACTAGGTATAATTCTCTTATATTAAAATAAATGTTTTATTGGTTAGAAAAAGAAAAACGGTCATAAATGTGCCTTGTAGGGAGTAGAAGTTGGTTCCAATACATTTTGGATTTAAAAATTGATCATTTAATCTATCTTATAAAAACTGTGGGTTACCAATCAGAGCGTTTATTCCGTGGAGATATGGAGCAGCTGGGGAATTTAGATCCAGAGAGGGAGAGGGGCTGTGTGCTGACGACTGGGGGGCAGGCTTGTAGTGTATACCCTTTGGTTGATTGATGATGCATGGAGGGGATTGTAACCATGGCAATGAAATGATATACGATAGAATGAATGTAAAACTAATGTTCTCCTATGTAAACTATCACATAATTCACAATAAAACATTTTGAAAAAAAACAAAACTGTGGGTTAATGTGCTAGACTGCAAAGTTGTTTGAATCACAAGGTCAGTGGTTCAAGCTCACCAGTTACTCCTTGAAAATACAGGGTCACTATGGATCAGAACAGACTCGATGGAATTTAATAACAACAACAAATAAAACCCATATCTTTAACAGAGCCTCCCCTCCCCCCTCAATGACTGTGTCTTGATGAGTTAGGTACAACAACATTTTAATATCCAATGGGTGCTTGAAGGAGCTCTTGTCATCACGGCTACTCTCACTTTGGACTTGTGATGTAGCACTGTAGCATGAGCACTAGACTGCTAACCACAAGGTCAGTGGTTCAAAGCTACCAGCCACTCCTCAAAAACTCTATTCAGGGTCACTCTGAGTAAGATCCCACTCAAAGGCACTTAATAACAACAACTCTCACATTGAGGTACACAGAGAAATTGCTGTTGTTACATGTCATTGAATCACTTCCGACTCATAGTGACCCTGTATAGAGTTCCCAAGAGCGGCTAGTGAGTTTGAATGATTGACCCTATGGTTCAAACTGACCTTGTGGTCCAGTGCTTTATTCCAGAGCTACAACATTCTCACAATCTCCCACATCTTTACAAATACTACATGAGTGACGTTTTCAGTGACAATTAGCATCAGGGCGATAGAAAAATTTGGAAATGGATAATAGTGAAGGTTGAAAAACATAAGCATTATTAATGTCACTAAATTGTACCTGTGAATAATTTTTAAGTAGCGTTTTGATATATTTACCCCAATAACATAGAAAAATCAATGATCTATTTTGATTTAGAATAAGAGGGACATTACATGTGTATTGCATGTGCAAATTATTGCTGTTGTTGTTAAGTGCCTTCGAGTTGGTTCCAACTCATAATGACCCTGTATAGGTTTTCTGAGGAGTGCCTGATGATTTTGAACTGTTGACCTTGAGGTTCAAACCGACCTTGTGGTCCAATGCTTATCCTACAGCACCACCAGGACTCCACACATGTGCACATAAGTAATAGTAAGTCTTATTATGTTGTAGCTCTCATTCCTTGCATGTTCTACAAATGTTTGTTGAATAAATTAATAAGATACTATAGCTTAAAAAAAACAGATGTTCTTGTAACTATGGGCTTCTTTTTTCAATTAGCATTGAATTGGGTCATTTGGTAAGGTGGAGGGTCAGAGAAAAACAGGAAGATCCCCAGCGAGATGGATTGGCCAAGTGACAGCATCAATGGGCTCAAGCGTGGCAACAATAGTGAGGTTGGCCCAGGATTGGGAAGTGTTTCATTCTGCTGTGCATAATGTCTCTATGAGTTGGTACTGAATCAATGGCACCTAATAACAACAACTTTAAACAGGTCATATACTTTGTAGTTCTCCACAGTCCCCACCTGACCTTGTTATTTTATGCCAGTCCTACTGCATGGCATATTTTAACTGTTTTGGCCCTTATGAACATTTGAGTTTCCTACCCCTAATCTGGAGCAAGGCCAAAAATCTCATTTTATCCAGGATAACTCTCAACTACTTGAAGGACATTTGGGTTATCTTCACACAAGCTAAATGTGCCCAATTTCTTCAATAAATCTTTTCTTTGCTTTTGTTATCCAACTCTGTTGCATTGTGAGCATACATTTCATGTCTGATCATTGGAAAACGGATGAAATTATGTATAATGTCATTCACTAAATTCTCTCTTTTTTTTAAGTTTTTATTGTGAGTTGAGTGAAAGCTTACATTCAACAAATCATATCCTTTGTTTCATTACAATGATTATAATCCCCTCCATGGACCATCAGATAACAGTATTTCTCTCTATTCATTTTAGCTGTTTTAAAAAAATGAAACACTCAAGCATATATTATCATTTATACCACCAAAGGGCACATTCTGCAAGTCTACCTCCTGGCCACCAGCTCTTATTCCCTCTCTTCCCATCAATCTAGAATCCTCAGCTGCTCCCTCTCTCCATGTCCTCATCTCTGTCTCCATCTCTGGTGTCGCTGCTTCTTTGGATAGGGTCCCAAATCCCACTTGTGCTCTTATCCTTTGATGGTCCTAAGGTCCTCTTTTTTCTGGACTGAAAGATTAACTACTCCCCCATTTTTATTACAAAACTTCTACGATTACAATTGTGACAGTTGCAATTACTCATGATAACAATTTGTTGTTGTTGTTAAGTGCCATCGAGTCAGTTCCGACCCATAGTGACCCTGTATAGGGTCTCTGAGGAGAAGCTAGTGAGCTGGAACCACTGACCTTGCAGTTCAAACGGCTTTGCAGTCTGGCGCATTAACCCACAGTGCCACACTATGATGCCACTTACTTACTATTAATCATAAGAATCTTACCCCATCTTTTTACCAGACCCATCTAGACAAGGTGAACACTATTCAGTGGGGACTTTTTCTTCCCTCTCCCAACACTCTTAAACTAAACTCCCTCTTGAAACCTTGTAAGTCAGTCACAGCCGCATGCCTTTATCGCTTCCCTCATTTTAGGTAGCCAATTCTAAGTTGCCCGTCCCTATCTACCCTATGTACAGAGGGGATAGCTTTGATACTTGATGTGAAGACTCCTTCCCTTTCTGTTGGTGTTTAGAGTTACTACCTCCATGAGTATAGGTCAAGTTCATCAAATTGTAACAATTTACCCTCATTTCCTTTACCAAAAATTATTTGTTTGCTTTTTCTCTTCCACTAGTCCAGTTCTGATTATCAAGCCATCGAAGCTAGGTTACATGGGTACTATCTGCAAGTTTGGGTGTTCTTGTGTGTCTCCCCTCACTTTGTATCAGCTAGATGCTCACTCTCAGCTCTTCTAAATTCTCTTGATGAATATATACAACTTAGACTCTTTTTTAAATGTTTCCAAAAGTATCCCACAAGTATGATACATCTGTACATTGGTTTATACAATGACCTCTGATGATTAGACAGTGGTCTCCTTTATTTATTTTTTTCTTTTTCTTCAACAGCTTACAAAGCACCTATAGAAAGTTCTGCATATTGTTTAATAAATATCTAACTGAGTATACTTCATGTTTATTTCAGATAAATTTTGCCCAGCATCTTAATTCTGCCATATCTGTTGTTCCTTCCAGCTTTATGTCATCTGAAACTTGGCAAGCATTCTTCTATTTCTTTGTTATGTTACTGACTTTATAAAACATGAAACAAGATACTACCTTCAAATAAAACCACTTGTGCTCTTGTCCCAGGCTGATGCAGAAACAATCCGCATACTTTAAACTTAAACCAAACCAAATGCAGTGCCATCAATAGATTCCCACTCATCGTGACTCTATATAGGTTTTCCATTTTTCACATCAACTAAGAAGAGAAAGACTAAGAACTGGTGGCCAGGAGCAGACTTGCAGAATGTGCCCTTTGGAGATGTAAATTATTATATATGCCTGAGTGGGTTTTTTTGTTTGTGTGTTTTTTAAAAAGCTAAAGTGGATAGAGAGAAATACTTTTAACTGATGGTATATGGAGGGGATTATAATCAATATAATGAAACAAGTTATATGAATTGTTGAATGTGAAACTGATGATGTGCCCTGCAAACTTTCACTCAATCCACAATAAAAACCTTAAATTAAAAATAAAATAAAAGTATATAGGTTTTCCGAGACTGTAAATCTTTATGGAAGCAGTAAACCTCATCATTCTCCCATTGAGCAGCTGGTGAGTTTGAACCACCAACCTTGTGGTTAGCAGTCCAACGCCTAACCCACTTAAATGTTGGTGGTGGTGGTTGTGTGCCATGTGGTCGGTTCCATTCATAACGACCCTACTTAGGGTTTCCAAGACTGTGAATCATTATGGGAGCAGAAAGCCTCATCTTTCTCCCATGGAGTGGCTGGTAGATTTGAACAGCTGACCTTGCAATTTGATAGATTCAAACTACTAACCTTGTGGTTAACAGCCCAGCTCGCAATCCACTACGCAACCAGGGCTTATACTCAGTATATTTATATATTATAGCATCCTTTAGTTATGTGTAAGATGTCTTGGTAGAACAGTGATTAAGTGCTCTGCTACTAACCTTAAGACCAGAGATTCAAACCTATAAGGCAATCCTCAGCTATAAAATCAGAATCACTCTATGGCATTGTATTTGGTTTGGTTTAAGATGCATCTAAAAACTGATGTGACATAAATACTAAAACCAAAAATACAGGTCATGTGAACTGAGTACCTCTGCAATACAGGCTTGTTAGCCTCGGACACAGTCATGAGTATATTGTTGACATGTCTAAAGTTACAGCAATAGAAACAATCAGCCTACTTTAAACTTAAACCAAACCAGTTTTTCTGCAGATTGACACTTAAGTAGGACAAAGTGTGAGAGACTTTTAAAAGTCTAATGCTAAATAGGAAACAGCCAGATCACTAACAATAGATGATTAAGTAAACAAAAGAATACGCTCACACAATAAAATCCTGTGCAGCCATTAAAATGATGTATCGGGTGAATGTTTAATGGTGTGGGAAAGTATTAGAATGTGGTAAGTGGAAGAAGAATCAAGTTTTAAGAGAATATTACAGTTACTCCTTTTTGTTTAAGTAAATATATGTCTGTGTTTAGAATGTAGAACAGAGATATACACCAAATTATTAAAATTTTATTTAAATGATTTAATAAGTTACTCTATATGTATTTACCTGAATAATGATAATAATAGATAGCACTTTTATAGTGCTGACAGCATGCAAGGAACTTTTAAAAGTGTCATACTGCATGCATGTAACTCGGCTTTTGAATATATGCTCTGAATTTTCAACAATAGAAGTGTTAACTTTCATGGTTATATAAAAAGCATTTGAGAAAAGGACAATAGAGATATAAGTATTGCTTATGATTGTGGAAGTAACTATTAGTAGAGATAAAAGCAAGTTATTTTTTTCATAAGCTCTTATTTATATTGGATTTGTTGCTGAGAACATGCATTAATTTGATTTGAATAATATTAAGTATACATGTTGTTGTTAAGTGCCGTCAAGTCAGTTCCAATTCATAGCAATCCTGTTTAGGGTTTTCAAGGAGGGGCTGGTGGATTTGAACTGCCTGGTAGCATAGTGGTTACGAATCGGGCTGCTAACCTCAAGGTCAGCAGTTCAAAACTACCAGCTGTTCCTCAGGAGAAAGATGAGGCTTTCTGCTGCTGTAAAGATTTACAGCCTCGGAAACCCTGTGCAGGGTCACTATGAGTTGGAACCAACTCCATGGTACTTAACAACAACAACAACCTTGTGGTTAGCAGTCCAGTACTTATTCAACAGTGCCACGCCAAGTATACATAAGAAATAGTTATTATTTCCTAAATATGGAAGGGGCATTGGAGGCACAATTGTTAAAGAGCTCAGCTGCAAACTGAACGAGTACAACCTTAAAAACCCTATGGGGCAGTTTGTACTCAAGTCAGAATCAACTCAACAACAGTGGGTTTGGGCTTTGTTTTGATTTTTTTGCATCAGAAATAGCACTTCTCATTAACAAGTTTTTGTTTTTTTTTTGGTTTTGTTTTTTTCAGTTTTTGATTCAACTTTGAATCTGAATTCCAATAGTAAAAACAAAATGAAACTCCACCAAAAAATTTTTATTTGAATCTATGGTTCAACTAAACAAAATCTTTTTATTCCATTGCATCAATATACTTGTATATGTATATACACATTCTACTGAAGTACATATTTTAACAGCATAAAAAGTATATGCACACCTCTTATGGGGGTTTACAAGATTTATGGTCATAATTACAATTGGGATCAGGAGCAGCCAGTTCCTAGAGAAGGATATCATGTTTGTTAAAGTGGAGGGTCAGTAAGAAAAAGAGGAAGACCCCAACAAGGCGGGCTGACACAGCAACAGTGGTTTCAAGAGTGTTAACAACTATGAGGATGGCACAGGACTGGGCAGGGCTTTGTTCTCGTGTGCATAGCGTCACTATGAGTGGGAACTGACACAACAGCACCTAACTACAACAGAAATCATTTTAATGGGAATTTTATACCCCATTATATATTTTAGATATATATGTAAGTTGTTGTTAAGTGCCATTCTGACTTATAGCCACCCTGTATAGGGTTTCCAAAGAGCAGCTGGTGGGATTCTAGAATACCACACCAGCAATCCTATATATGTATATATACTCATATATGTGGAATCTTGGTGTGGCACTGTAGGCTAAGCACTGGACTGCTAGCCACAAGGTCATCAGTTCAAATCAGTTGCTCCTAGGAAGCTGTATACAGGGCCAACATGAGTTAGAACCAACTTGACAGCACTTAATAATATATGTATGTCCATGATTGCTTTATTTCAAAAGATTTTCAATTATTTACCATCAAGTAAAGAGCTCTGGTAGCGTAGTGATTATGAGTCTGACTACTAATCTCATGGTCAGCAGTTGGAAACTACCAGCAGTTCCACAGGAGAAAGATGAGGTTTTCTGATCCCGTAAAGATTTACAGCCTCAGAAACCCTATACAGGGTTGCTATGAGTCAGAACCAAGTCCACAACACACAACCACCACCATGACCAAATAAAATTGCAACAACTCTAGAACTTGTGCCATGTTTATCTTTTTTATATCTCCATCATATTGACTACAATCAATTGTGTGTGTTCCATTTTTTGTAAAGGGCCAGATAGTAAATATTTTTGACTTTGTGGATTGTAAGTTCTCATTACAGCACTCAGTCCTACTAATATAGCTTACAGATCATCTAGGCTAAATAATTAACTGATGTAGTGCCAAGTAAAAATTATAATATAGACTATAACACACACACATTTTTTTAATCTAGAAAGATCTTATGATTTTTGTAGGGTAGGGGGAATATTCAAAACCTGGCTAATTTGGGTGTATCTTTCTCCTTTGCAGGTCTGTTCAACTCAATGGTCAAATTCTAAAGATGGTGGATGATCAAACCCTGCCAGCTTTGACAGAAAAACCCCTTCGCCCAGGAAGTTCACTGGGCTTGCCAGCTTTCTCCTATGGGTTTTTTGTGATAAGAAATGCCAAAGTTGCTGCTTGCATCTGAACATAAAAAGTGTTAACACTATCCCTGAGGTTGAAGTTTTCAAGGGTATGGACAAAAATAAAGCACAATTCAAGGGTTAGGATAGCAAGAAGATATATTATAAATGAACTGGTGGGTGCTCTAGAGTTACTGGGTCATTCTCAGTCCCAAATGGAGTACAATATTTTAGTCTCTCAAAGTAAATACTGCTAATAATAATAGGTCATAATCCCTTGTGCCAAACACTATACTTAGCACTGTGCATGTACTATTTTTATTTAAGATTATTAAACATATATATATATATGAATGCTCCCAGTATGGCCAAGAGGTGAGTAAGTGAAGAATATATTATTATTAGGTTTAAGAAAGTACTTAAAACACACACACACAACAATTAGAAGCTTGCTGCATTCTTTCCTGTGTATACCTTCACTTTGGGATTCCACTGGGGGAAAAATGTATTACCATTATCTTCAAAATGGTTACAAAAGGAGACCTAAACAAAGAATTAAGCTGCTACTTCTTTTCTCTGTCTTCTTGTTGTCTCGGTCAGCAATAAATGGGAAAGGACAGATGATTAGGTGCAATGGTATAAAAATGATGAATGAAAATTCAAAGGAAATGGATTCTATAAACTTCAAATGAAATAAAAAGATCTCTGTAACTGAAATTGGTTTTCCAGTAGGAGAGAATTTAGAAAACAGTCAATATATCTTAACCATCTATCAACGTTTAAATCTAACTTTAGTTCTTGTTTTCATTGGGAAGTATTTAGCTATAACAGAAAACCATAATCTGAAGAAGCTTAAATAATGAACATATGTACAATTTCATATAACAAGACGTTCAGGTAGGGTGGGCTCCAGTAGGTCAGTACAACACAAAAGAGCCAAGTTCCTGCTTTGCCATCTTTAGTGTTGGCTTCATTCTCAGGCTGTAGCATGAGGGCTATATCTGTTCCAAGGACCCATTCATACCTGGCAGCAGCTAGAGAGAAAAGATTAACAGTTTTTTTGGTGTCTCCTTCATAGACTTGAAGAAACCTTTTTCTGAGGTCTTCTCGTGTCCTTCTTACAGGTGAGGAATGGATTTCATGGCCACCCTTCCCTGCTCCCAATTATTGAGATTTCTCTAATTGTCTCACATTAATCATTTGGAGTATGGTTAATGTTGAGTCATCCAGAGCACTAAAGATTACCTGTCTATACTTTTTATCGGTGGTTGTTATTATTAAGTGCCATCGAGGCGGTACCAACTCATAGCGACCCTATGCATAACAGAATGAAACGCTACCCAGTCCTGTGCCAACCTCACAATCGTTCTACATTAGTGCCCATCGTTTCAGCCACTGGAGGTCTTCCTCTTTTTCTCTGAACCTCCATTTTACCAAACATGATATCCTTCTCCAAGGACTGGTCCCGCCTGACAATATGTCCAAAGTATGAGACCATCCTGGCTTCCAGGGAGTATTCTGGCTGTACTTCTTCCAACACAGAGTGGTTTGTTCTTTTGGCAGTTCAAGGTACTTTTTAATATTCTCCTCCAACATCATAACTCAAATACATCAATTCTTTTATGGTCTTCCTGTACAGTGGTAGACTGTATTATTTCCCCTTTATCCTAATTGTTGGAAATATGTTGTTGTTGTTGTTAAGTGCCGTTGAGTCGGTTCCGACCCATAGCGACCCTGTACAGGGTTTCCGAGGGTGTAAATCTTTACGGGAGTAGAAAGCCTCATCTTTCTCCCGCGGAGCGGCTGGTAGTTTCGAACCACTGACCTTAAGGTTCGCAGCCCGATTCGTAACCACTACGCTACCAGAGCTCCTTATAATTCTCTTTATATCTATGCTTGCTGTGAATAGTATCTCAATGAAATGTAAGTATATTTATAAGGAACGAAAGCTAGAACTTAGTGTTTGGATACTTCAATACCATTACAATTTATATGCAAGTTGTTTTATATTTTCACATTTGAAATAAAGTAATTTTATAACCTTTACATTGCATGATTATTGCTTTAATAAAATTTAAGCCTATAGGTTCCTACATTGTTGTTGTTGTTAGGTGTCATGTAGTCACTACCGACCCATAGCGACGTTATGAATAGCAGAACAAAACACTGCCCGATCCTGGGCCAACCTCACTACAGTTGTCACACTTGAGTTCATCACTGCCGCCACTTGGCCAATCCATCTCATTGGGGG